TTATCGCAGTACAAAGGAGTAGGGTCGTTTGAGGTACGCCTAACTCACTGAGCAACCATCGTAACCAAATCAGCTCACTAACAGTGCTGGCAATGGCACGATACTCTGCCTCTGCCGAAGAACGAGTAACTACTTTCTGCTGTTTGGTGCGCCAAGAGACAGGAGCAGAACCCAAAAAAATGTAGAATCCACTAGTAGACCGACGAGTTGTCTGACACCCACCCCAATCAGCATCACAATATGCGACCAAATCAAGAGGGTTATCAGCTGGAAAATACAAACCTTGCCCTGGCGAATTCTTCAAGTAACGAAGAATGCGCATTGCGGCATCCATGTGAGCTTGAGAAGGATCATGCACAAAACGACTCAAGATGTTGACTCATTAAGATATATCTGGACGAGAGACGGTGAGATAAAGTAGACGTCCCACCAGACGACGGTATGATGACCCGTTCACAAGAGGGGAAGAGTTAGGTTTGGTGAGCTGGTGATTCTGTTCGATAGGGAGTGCACTAGGACGAGCACCAATAACTCCTGCCTCTTCAAGGATGTCTAGTACATATTTACGTTGACTAAGAACGAGCCCTCGAGGGGATCTAGCAACCTCAAGACCAAGAAAATACTTCAGTGTTCCCAAATCCTTAATGCTGAAACGGTCATCAAGGAATCGTTTGACGGTAGAAATAAGTCATTTCCGGCCAACAGGACGTCCTCTACGTAGATGAGTGCCACAACAAATGTAGTTCCACGAGAGAAAATCAACAAGGAATGATCTGCAGACGATGCTCGAAAACCGAGTTCACATTAGGCTGTAGTGAACTTTTGATACCAGTTGCAAGACGCATGCTTCAAACCGTAAATTGACTTATGTAGACGACAAACACGATTATCACCAGGAGCAGCATAACCAGGAGGAAGCTTCATATAAACTTCTTCCTGGAGATCACCATGGAGAAATGCGTTATTTACATCAAGCTGATGAATAAACCAACCACGACTAACTGCCACAACGAGAAGACAACGTACAGTTACAAGCTTCGCTACTGGAGCAAAAGTATCATGATAATCCACTCCTTCAACCTGTGTATACCCTTTTGCAACCAAGCGAGCTTTATAACGCTCAACAGTGCCATCCGGATAATACTTGATCTTGTAGACCCACTTACAATCGATAATGTGCGCACCAGGAGGAGGGATGACAAGACTCCAAGTGCCATTGACTTCAAGGGTGTGAATCTCTTTGTTCATGGTTTCCCGCCACCATGCATATCGAATAGCTTGAGAAAAACTGCGGGGTTCAGATTCTTTAGTAATTACCGCAAGGAAGGCTCGATGTGGAGGACTTAGACGATCATACGAAACATAGTGAGACAACGGATACTGAACGTGTGAGGCGTCCTGCAAATCTGTTACATAAACATCAAGATAAGAGGGAGGCCGTTTGGAGCGCAAACCTCGTCCAAGTTGTGGAGGCTGAACCTCGTCCAAGTTGGTAGGGGAAGGTGACATCGTGGCTGGATCAAGCTCTTCATTAAGGCTGCCCATGACAATTGGGGAAACTTGTTGCCGTGACAAAGGTTGTCCATTGGCAGTAGAGTCACCACTTGGAGGGGGCGACGTGGACTCCATGTTGTCTTGATGTGAAGAAGAAGTTACCTGACGCGGTGAGGGGGAAAACACCTGATGTGGTGCCGAGGTCTCGCCAGAGACAGATGGAATAGTGGAGACGGGCTGGTCATCATCCAGCGGACTTGAATGGGGACTTTCATCAGTAGTTGGATCAAAAGGTGAAGGAACCCAATGGAATCACGAGGATCCTGGGCATGAAACGGGAAATATGTTTCATGAAAGACTACGTCCCATGACACATGAACTTTACGAGTAACCAGGTCATAAACTTTGTAGCCTTTCTGAGTAGACGCATATCCAATAAACACACCAGCACGCCCCCTATCAGTGAACTTATGGAGTCCCCCATGATTGTCTTTAGTATAGACAAGGCAGACGAAAGCTCGGAGATGAGCGTAAGGTGCGATTTTCCCAAAGATCAATTCATAGGCCGTTTTCTTTGTTGCTGTGGTAGGCAGTCGGTCAATCAGATAAACACCAGTGAGTACACACTCACCCCAGAAACGTAAGGGAAGTCCTGCATGAAATCGAAGTGCTCGAGCGATATCCAAATATGCCTATGCTTGCGCTCAACGACCCCATTTTGTTGAGGCGTATCCATACAACTAGTCTGTAATATAATGCCAGAGCGCTCATAGTAATCCTGCAGAACTGTAGTTCGAAATTCCAAACCATTATCAGACTGAAGACGTTTAACTTTCTTACCAAACTGTGTTGACCATCTCGAAAAACATCAGCAAATAACGAGAGACTTCTGATTTAAACTTCAAAAGATATACCTACACACCACGACTAAAATCATCGACGATTGTCAGAAAATAATGTGCTCCACTAAGTGATGGAGTATGATAACCACCCCCAATGTCGATGTGAATAAGTTCAAAACAATCGAAGTCTTTATTGTACTAAGCTGAAAAGGAAGCCGACTTTGCTTAGCTCAGGAACAGGAATGACACGGCCCATGTCCCTTGCTACCAGAAAACGAAATGTGGGAACATAACTGAGAAAATTTTAACGGAGAAGGATGCCCCAGACGGTGGTGCCAAACTTCTTCAGAGACCGACGACGAACTACTGGCAGCATAAACAAACGTCTCCTTGCTGTCCAGCAACTTCAGATAATAGAGTCCATTACGGAGAATCCCCTTCCCAATCACGATCGTGGAGTGTAAGTCCTGGAGTATGCATAAATCACGCAAGAAGATAAGTGCGACATTGTTATCTTGAGTTAGTTTGCTAACAGACAGAAGATTGCACTTAAATTCTGGAACATGTAATACGCATTCCATTTTCAAACCAGAATCAAGTTTAACTGTACCAACACCTGCCACAGGAACACTCTCACCATTCGGAATTCGCATGGGGTGATGATCTTGTTTGACTAGTTCCACGTTTAACAAGTTCACATCCTTCGTGATGTGTTCATTACAACCCGAATAGATTAACCATTCGGAGTCATTAGTGATCATACCTGCCATGTGTGCCGAGGGATCTTCAGCGTGCTTAGGCTGTGAGAGGAATTGTTTTAATTGTTCCAGCTGCTCAAGACTGAAACCTGGGATGGGGCTTAAACTGCTAGGTGCCGCTGCTACCTGTGCTGCACGAGGTGAGGGATCGCGTGTACTTTTCTTCTTCTTTTCTCCGCGTTCACTCTTTTCGCCATTACTAGGGTTGCGACTAGGCCAGCCAATTATATCATAGCAAGCATGTTTGAAATGGCCAGGCTTACCACAGTGTGTACATTTTGGACGACCATCCGCAGTCCGCTGATATTCATTGGCAGACTTGGCAGCGAACGCTGCTCCTTCAGAGGTTGGACGACGCTTTTGAACAAGAAGGCGTTGTTTCTCATCGGTAGAAACCATGCTAAAAGCTTCATCTAAGTTTGGAGGCGGCCGTATTGAAAGAATTTGGCTCCGAACCGTGCTAAAACTTTCATCAAGCCCCATTAGAAAGTCAAAAAGTCTTGAACGTTCCTCCCTTGCACGAGTACGAGTTTCCAAGCCGCAGCTACAGTTCCCGCAGATGCAAGTTTCTGGAGGTGAAAGAGAATAAGACTCTTCCCACAGATTACGAAGCTGAGTGTAAAAGGACGACACGGTAAGCTTCTCTTCCCAAAGCACACTGATGAGACGATGAATTTCGTAGCCACGGGTGAGACTACCCTGTCCAAACCGCTCTTTCAAGTCGACCCAGACTTCTCTGGCCGTTTTAGCAAAAAGTACACTGCTACGAACTTCCTTGTTCATGGAAATCCTCAACCAGCCTTTGACGACGACATCGCAACGATTCCAGGCACTCAATTCAGGCTCCTTCGATGGCTTTGGGACAATGCCATCGACAAACCCAAATTAATTCTTGACAATAAGGGCGTCGGTAATATCAACGACCCATTCACCGTAATTAGATGAAGTAAGTACCTCACCGATCTGCAGCTGACTATTGATGTCAGATTGATGAAGGAAGAGTGGTGAACTTGGCTCCAGAAAAACCTGACTCGGAACCGGACAAGAAGTCGACGACGTGAAGGCGGACTTGCCTTCAGAACCAGAGGAAGTCTTTGTTTCGTCGTCACTCATGTTGACAACGTAGGTAGAAGCTTGAGGGACCTAGTGCTCTGATACCATAATAAATCTAACTCAAAAGCAAGAAAACTCAAGACACCGATTTTACGTGGTATCCCCGATTGATGTCGGGACTAATCCACGGGAGAGTTTTAGCCTCTCCAGCTCTTAACTCTTATTACTTCACACACGGCACAAAGGCCTTACAAGCCTTCTTATATATTCCTCTACAATATGCTACTGGAATATATGAGGAAGAAGGTATCCTCGTACAAGACGTAAAGGAAAACCTACTCCTACATGGCGAAGATGTCGTAACCATGCAGGCTACTCGAGCTGGACCTGTAGATGGATCCTTACGGGCTGATGACACTCGGCCCAATATGGTTACTCAACATATGGTTACTTACCCGATCCGTTCTCGTGGCCTATTTGTTAGTAACCCCAAAGGTAACTGACTTTTATGCTATTAATCCTAGGGATGGCATTGGGTCGGGTTGGGGTGGGTTTTGTCAAACCCAAACCCAAACCCATGGGTTTATCCGCAAAAAAACCCGGGGTAAAACCCGATGGGTTTGAAAAACTCAAACCCAACCCAACCCGCTGGGTATCCGCGGGTTTTTGTGGTAAAAAATTTACAATAACAAGTTTCTTTCAAAATAAAAGTTTAACATCAATTTTCTCATACAAATTATTCATACAAAAAACACCAATCTAGAGCATACAAGCAAACCGCAAATGATCAATACAAATTGTTCAAAATTAAAGATAAACATCTATAAACAATAAGATTAATTGAAAGCTTCTTCCTCGTCAACTAAGTTTCTTCACTCTCCACTTCATAATATCAGCTTCCTTCTAAACAATTAGAAAGAACAAATTATGCATGTCTCCACAAACATAAAGAATATTAGTTGTTTAAGGAAGATATATTATTTAGAATATTAAATATACCGGGAAAGTAATTATATGTGTGTGGACGGGTACCCATGAGGCGGGTTTACCTAAACCCAAACCCAACCCGACCCGGTGAATAGTGTAGCAGGTTTAAACCCAAACCCGGCCCAAAAACCGTCAACACGGGTTTTATCCGTGTTGACCGGGTTGGGTCGGATGGGTACCCATGGGTTCGGGTTTTGTTGCCATCCCTAAGTAATCCTCCAAACACCCGAAGCTTGTCAGAATGCTATTGGGCTAGAGAACATAGCCCAACTTTGTTTTTACTTTTTACTCTCTCCTCTATTATTATTTTTTTTAATTTCTTTTTCCTTTTCCGGATGGTGGTGGTTTCACTGGTTTGGGTTCTTGTGCGAAATGTGCTACTTGTCTGCTGTCTATTGTATCCCAGCGGCCTGCAAACTGCAATTGAGATTGGTTGTTGTTGGTAATTGGTATCCGGCTTCCCTCCTCCTCGTCCTCCACAGAAGGCGAGGGAAGATACCGAAAAACAGAGAGATTGGTGATGTGGGTATTTGGGTATGGTTCCCTGATCTGGAAAGCTGGGTTTAACTACGACGATCGCCTCGTTGGTTTTGTCAAAGGCTATCGCCGCGTCTTTTACCAAGGTCTTCTGCTTTCCTTCCGTACTTCTTCCTGCCCTTTCATCTGTATCCCTCTCTCTAGCTTAATTTCTTAGCTAAATTTCCCTTTTTGTTCTTTTGTGTGTTTGGTACGATTACATCAGGCAGCACTGACCACAGAGGCACTCCAGAGTTCCCAGGAAGAACCGTCACTTTGGAGCCTGCTGATGGCGAATTTTGCGTCAGTTCTTTCCTTCTACTTTTTTCGTCTACTTGTTGGAATTAGAATTTTATTGAAGTGTTCCCTTTGTTCATAGGTAGTAGTAGTAGTAGTAACTTAGTTCTGATCATTAATGATGAGCAACTGCAGGGAGCTATCACAGTTTGTTTTACTAGTTCCTACCAATCCCTGGTTAAAAAAATTTCACTATCATGTATCACTGACCAAATCGGCATCACGATATTATTAAGAGTTCTTACAGTTTTGATATTGTACATCTATTCGAGCCTGCCTCGCTCGTGTTCATCCCCAGGAGGATTTCTTTCACAATCCATTGTGTTTTAACCTGCTTTGTCATTTTTCATTTTGGCAAAGGTTACAGTGGGGAGTTGCATACAAGATCTCGGGCAAAGAAGATGAAGATACTGCACTGACTGTAAGTAAAAGTTCGGCAGTTTTTGTTGGGTCTTTGTTTGTGTTGGGTTTGGAGTTTACTTAAATAATAACTGGGATTGTTATGTTGGTTTGGTCTTTTGATTGAGGACACTATAGCATCTTGAAGTTAGGGAGAAGCAGTATGATGAGAAGGCCTACCTTGATTTCTTCACCGTAAGGGAAATGTTGTTAACTATGATTGAGATTTTTATGTCTAGCTTAAACTGAAATGGTTGACAAAAATTGAGCTCAGGATCCAACAGCTACAACTCCTGCAATTCCCGGTGTAATGGTGTGAGTATAAAACGACACCCATCGTTTTTAGTAATCTCATTTTGCAGCAGCTCTTCCAAACCATGAGTCCAATCATGTTGCAGGTACATAGGCTCTCCAGACAAGAAGAGAAACACAAACTACTTGGGGCCTGCACCCATGGAAGACATAGCCAAGTAATGCTTTCAAATCTATATTCGTTTGATTGTGAGATAGAGATGTATTTATACTACCGCTTATCGTTTTGTTTGGGCAGACAAATTGTTGAAGCTGAAGGCCCCTCGGGACCTAACAGAGAATACCTTTTTAAACTGGAAGCAGCGCTTCTTGAGATTGGTAAGCTCTAGCATTACTTTATATAGCTGCTCCTTGTTGGAAATGATTTCAGTAATCTAACTGGCTGACTGTATTGGCGGACTGCTGAAGGATGCAAGGACAAACATGTCATGGAACTTGCAAGCAAAGTACGAGCAATTCTTTTGGAGAATGAATGATCGACTCAAAGCTGCTTCTCTCCACATTTGTTTTTACCCTAAATTAAAAGGAGTTTGTAGGTCGGTATATGAGTGTTATAGACCCCTGAGCCGGTATTGGCTGATAGATATGCTGCCTCGAGCCGTTGAATTTTTTGGTGGGCATTTTACTTTACGGGTGGCTTGGATGATGAAATAGGGCGATTGATCCATGGAAAATGGTTTAAATTCCATGCAAACCGGAAAAAGAATGATTTGTTTGTCCATGTTTTAAAGCAACTACCGAGTCCACATTCTATGGAGATTGGGTTAATATTTCATGGAGGGAGAGGATCTCACCATCTGATATCGAGTTCAAAAATTGTTGACGAAGCTTTTGCTTTCAACACTTTGAAGAGCTGGTTGTTTTCATTACATCTCGAGCTTATATAGTCAAGTTTTGTGGTTACAAGCCACCGTTCAGTTTAGGCGAAACTTGGGAATGAAGTAAGTACAAGCCGAAAGAGAAAAGTGAACAGATTAAGATAATTTGGCGTTGCTTGGTAATTTGCCAGTAACAACAACGCTCTTGGTACGGTTACTTCGGATTGCAAGGACAACGATCGTCTTGATAGTTGACGCAGGTTCAAATTAAGAAGACCATGGAAAATGTGTGTTTTTCTCGTATACCCCCAACATTCTGGTTGACAAATGTTGAGCACACCAAGTTTGGAGAGAAGGTAAGATAATGTCGCCAGAGGTAGGGGATTGGTGAATAGGTCAACTAGTTGGTGAATACTGAAAACATGAAGAACTTTGATTGTTTGAGCTAGGGTTAGGCACGTGAGTGGTTAATCTACGACTTGATATCAACCCTCCGCAATTAACCCTATATGTAGTGGGTGAGTGATTGATGTGGGTGGATTGCGAATTGATAACCTCTTACTCGCACTTATTCGAGTGGGTAGTTGAAGGATTGCAGGTCATCTAAATGATCCGCATGCTATTTTCACATGACAAAAGTTGTTTCCTATTTATATCATCAAATAGTCATCATTTTTCCAAACCGCATTACACACTGATCATTGACTTCTAAAGGTGGGGAATAAAGTAAGTTTTAGGACTACTATTATTGTTTACTGTTGTATAATGTCCATTAGATATCGAGATGCAAATTATAAACTATTGATTCTATCAAAATCGAGAAAACATTAATTTTCTCTACATAGTTGGTTGATAGAGTAATAGAATATTTTCTCCAAATACTTCACGAATCAACAAAAGAAAAAAATGAGAGGTGTCTAAATTATTAGAGTGAGGAATTTATTATAATGCTAGTTAATTTGCTTAATGACTAGTTAGAGAATTACCTTTGTGGTTAACCCACAACCCAACTGTACCCATCCACCACCCAACCCAACCCAAAGAAGAATGTGGGTGGATAGCGGGTCAAAATTCTACCAACTCACTAGTAAGAGGGAGGGTCAATTTAAGACCAAAACCCACCCAACCTACCCATTGCCAACCCCTAGTTTGAGCAAATAGTTTTTTTTTCTTTGAAAAAAAAGTGGTAATCCGGCTCGATGTGTTCGTATGCTCATGAAAGGTTGGATTCTTAGCGTTGTAGATGACTGATTGATTGTCGCAGTAAAGGATTAGTGGTTAAGGATGACTGAGTTGGAAGTCTTGGAGAAGATATGAGAGCCAATGTACTTCACAGGTTGTGTATGCAAGTACTCGATATTCTGCTTCGCATGAGGATATGGAATGGTGGTTTATTTTTGCTTTCCAAGAGATAAGAGAGTCTCCAATGTACACACACTAGCTTGTTATGGATCTTCTGGTGTCGACATAGGCTACCGAGTTAAAGACACTAATAGCCTTCATTTGAAGTGAAGAACTTACATAGAGGAATAGGTCATTTGAAGTTGATGTCTTCAAGTACCAGAGAATTTGAATAAATGATTTGGAGTGAGTGTTGCGAGGATTGAAATTGTATTGGCTTACCTATGGTGTGGAAATGCTTATGTTTGGTCTTGTTGTGGTCAGGTAGTTGAGTTTACTCACTAATCTTCTACATTTCTCTGGCATTGGAAAATCATCATGATGTGTAGTAGATAGATGGATCTTGTAGTGCATTAGTGTAGTGACTGGTTTAGAGTGTGATGGTCTACTTTTTCCAATAGTTTCATTGTATATTTTTGTTGTGACATTTGAATATCTTTGTTGCTTTTGGAAACTTCAATGCCAAGATTTTTATAGGTTTTTCGGGTCTTTGATATTGAACTCATTATGGAGGAATGTCTTCAATGCAACAATTTAATATAAGTCGTTCACCAACAACTATATCATCCATATAAACCAAAATACAAGTGTATGAGCTTCCCCTAGACTTGTAGAACAAAGAATGGTTCACTTTGCTAGATCCATAACCCTGAGAACACAGTCTGTCTGCAAGTTTGGATAACTACTCTCTTGAAGCGTCTTTGAGGTCATATTGAGTTTTCTTGAGGTGACAAACATGGGTTTTGTTTCCTAGTGATGTTTTTTTATCCATGGGGAAGCTTTATAAACACCTTTTGGTCAAGGTCGCCGCGTAGAGAGGAATTGTATGTTCACATCTTAATATTGAACATGGCAGTTTTGAGCTGCTGCTATAACCAAGAAGAGTATGATGGTTGTCATTTTCACTACTGGGGCAAATGTTTTCTAGTAATTTACCCTTTCCTGTTAGTTGTACGTCTTTGCCACAAGCCCACAAGTACGGATTTAAACAAGTCAATATAATGCTCCCATTAGGGTTGAACTTAATTCATAAAACCCAATTGTTTCCAATATATTTCATGTCAGTTAGAAGTTGGACAATGTCCCAAGTGTAGTTTCCCTTTAAGGATGACAACTTAGTTTGCATTGCATCATCCCATTTTGGTGATTGGAATACTTCTTTGTAAGAATATGGTTCTTATGTGTAGATATATTAACCTCACATTGCTTGTGAGTTGCACACTAAGTATTGATTGCAAAGTGTTGTAATCAATCTAGAAGGTGCGTAAAACCTGGAGTTTACTGCCTTGGAGGACGACTGGTTAATGAAGAATACTTAAATAGGTTGCAAGCTGAAAATGTTTTGGTGGTTTGATTGTTTTGTAAAAACCTAGTGGGTTGTGGTTGGGGAGAGGGGTTGAAATGCTTGGAGATAGGTTATCAATTTCTGATTCATAGTGAATGTCATTAATAAAATACTCTAGGTTGGGATTTGATATAGGTGATTGGTTTGGGTCATAAAGAAGACCGAAATCATCATACAAGGAAGGGTTTTGTATGTGATTTTAATGGAGTGAGGTGTTATTTGTCACTCTATCTTTGAATGAAAAATGATTGTCATAGAACTATAAATCTCTACAAATAAAGACTCTATTGATTGCACGAACATATATATTTTAGCCTTTAATCCCTGTTGTATAACCTATGAATATACCCTTCCTGATTCTAGAATCAAACGTGGTTTTACGATTGCTCAATGTGCTAGCAATATATAGGCAACCAAAAACTCTTAACTCTGTCCATTCTTGTTTGTTTTTTTAAATCTTTTCAAATGATGTATAGTTCTCTAGAACAATTGAACGAACCCTATTTAATTAACTGGATTGCATTTTTGGTACAATCTCCCCAAAAACCAAATGCTATATATTGATGTTTGCTTTCAACCTTGTTCTTTTATTGTGATGTTTCAACACAGTAAAGTTCATGGAAAATGACAATTTTTTACTTTCTTTGGGGAAAAAATCAATTATTTGAAATTTTTTTCCTTGGTCACTTATGATATTTTTCATAGAAGTTTGGAACTGCATCTCATCATAAGAGCCGGAATGATGTAATTTGGTTCTAGCTTTAGATTTGGTTGGCAAATAAAGACCCAAGTTATTCTAGTAAAGTCATCAATAATGGTAAAAAAAAAAAAAAACTTAACCCCATCATAACTAGGAGTAGAACTAGGCTCCCAAAGATCAACATGTATACGTTTCAAAGCTTGTGTGCAAATAGTTGTGCTACAATGAAAGATAAGTATTTTTCTTCCTAGCAAAATGAAAAACATAAGAAGGTACTGACTCGACTCTACTGTCACTCCAGGAATTGGCCAAGTGAAACCACTTCCTAAAGCGTAGTATAGCGGGTTTGGGTTTAATTATCAACCCGGGTCCTAGATATGATGACTACTCAGTGAATTCGTGTTATCTAGCAATGAAACTGGAATGCAAGTCTAAACTATCAAACTAACAAAGCAAACAAACTGGTTGTATTCAAGTTAAAAGAGGTCACCCGGATATGGTTCCCCCTAGACTGCAGTTAAGCCGGATTGTAATTACCAAGTTCAGTTTCTATGACAGTTATACTGCGGAAGGTTCTTAAACAGCCTGAAGTCTCGACTAAAGGTCTTCAGACCCTCTCAATCTGACTCTCTAGCGGGCGACTAACCTCCACCGGAGTCGACAGATTGAGGCCCTAAGAACAAAACCTCCACTACCGGAGTAAATCCGGTACAGAATAGCGAGTTGGTTCCTCGACTAAAGTCACCAACTCCCTACCTTCAATCAAGGATACTCTATTAACCTAGGCAAATATTCTCATTCTAGGTTAAAGCAGAAACAACAGGAATTTGATCAGGATTCAAGTCATTCAATCATTAAAACCTCAATCGAATATAATCAATCATAGAATCAATACTTGGGTTCATACAATCAAAGCCTAACATACAAATCTAGGGTTCTCCATACCCAGATGAATGGGAGAACTACTCCATGGAGAAGAAAGCAAAAGCAGAAACAGACACGGAATTCATACTGCGAAGGATGGATTCCGGCTCCTGGATGTTGATCGGCACTTCTCCAAGCTCAAGCTGGCCTCCAATGGTGTTGAAGATCAATCTAGGGCACTTGGGAACTCTTGCTCGTCACTTTCTCTCTCTATGAACTGATCTCTCTCTCAAAAACTCGAATCCCCCCTTGAATTGTGGCTGAAACTCTGCTTAAAAGCATCAGTGGCCAAAGCACGGTCGAGGGCACGGCCGTGCTTTGCCTGACTCCGCCCGTGCCTCGGCCAGGGCTTAATTACACGGCCAGCAAGTGGGTTAAACACGGCCGTGCTTCGCAATGTACACGGCCGTGCTTTGACTAAACACGGCCGTGCTTCGGTGCCTGTGTTTGCAGCTGAATTGGCCAAACTGAATTTGCTCTCGGCATAAAAAGCACGGCCAGCAGTACACGGCCATGTAATGCCTTAGGCTGCCCGTGTTTTGGCTCCAGCTCACCGAAATGACTTCCGAATGCCCCGAAACTCGCGCTTAGCCTTCCCTTTGACACCTGGGACCTGAAACATGACAAAATAGCACAACCTGGCGTAAAATAGGCCACAACACACGACTATGCCCCTCAAACGGATAAGAACTAGGGGCGCAAACATGTGCAATTACATCGTTATTAGGTACAGACTTGTTTGTTTCTATGGATGTATAGAGTTTCCTCAAATGAGGTATTTTGGAATGGGAAACATGTCCTAGTCTGTAATATAATAGATCAAAGACTTGTAAGTAGTGTTATTAAGACCGACCAAGACCGGCTGGTTGGACAGATAAGAATTTTATATTCAATTTTGATTTATTTTTTGAAATACTTAAAATAAAAATAAAAGAGTGGGTGATGATGCGTGGTGTATAGTCCGCCTCCCCTACCTCCTCCGCCGGCCAAGCTCGAAGGCCAGATCCCTTGCTGCTGCCCACCAAAGCACAAAAATTTCCACCCTCCTCATTCAAAATCCCGAATTGGGAGAGGTAGCGAAAGAGGCATCGAAATTGATCCTTAACCCCTAATCCAAGGCTAACAGAGAAGCCAAATCGCCTCCAATGGCGACGCCACCAGCGAAGGGTGACCCTTCCTCGATCCAATCCGACGATGCATGTTGCGCTGGTGTTGGCCTGGAAACGAGGAGTCAGCTTGGGATCTCCTGCCGGAGTCGGTTGAGGAAACAAGGAGGGAGGGATTTGCGACACAGAAAAGGAACAAAGGATAAGATGGATTAGAGAAGTGTGGTCGGTGACAAGAGGGAGAATGGTGGAGGCGGCAATGGAGGATGGAGGCAGGGGATTAGTTTTGGGTTTTAGATTAGTTTTGGGTATGAGATGAAGGTGAATCACTGGTCGTAGGGGCCAGAGAGTAAGGGAAATCTAATTTCAGTTTTTCAATTTTCAATTTTGGAATTATTTTTATAATATTAATTATTTTAATTAAAATTATGATGTGGCTGTCGACGTGGCATTTATGTGTCTTTCACTATTTGGTCAATCGTTATCCTTAATGGTCAACAAAATCATCGTGACAAAAATGACGACCCCTATTGCCACGACCACGTTGAATGTTGTGGGCAATCGACGACACTGAGGGTAAACGTGGAGATTTCATATCGGCTTCTAGTGAAACAAGTCGATCCACAAGATACTCAAGGGTGGGGCGAGTCTCGTAAGCTCGGATACCTGCTTAGAACTCGTTGTACTCATCCCTCTATCCTCAGAAGTAGTAGGTAATCAGCTCATCATCGTGCACCACCGTGTCTGCAGGGGCCACCACAGTGGCGCTGGAGCGGAGAGACTGGACGAACGTGGCAACGTCAAAGCCCCTTCTTCTAAGGAACCAGATGATCGCAAAGTGTGATAATGAGAGAGCAAGAAGAGTTAGCATGTATGCATACCAACATAGTCCAGGAAGTAGCTTCGATAGCGGCTGAGCTAATGAATGGACAGACAACCACGGAGACGCGAGCAAGGAGACTGTTGAGAAGCAGCTTCTCCTAACAAAACCAGTGAGTGTGGGCTGGATTTTTCACCTGAACGCCATCAACACTGATGCATTCGGGAGGAGAGACAGTAGTACCATCAAGATAACCTACCAAATCAAGGCCTTGAAGCAAGGACAAGAACTGCACATGCCAGGAAGAGAAGTTGGTGGGCGTGAGTTTCAGAGGAAGGCTTTGCCGGTTGATTTGGGGCTAATTGTACACTTTTTATCACCGATTCTCTTTGACGTTCATTGCAATTGAACCCCAAAAAGGTTGGTTTTATGCGAGGTTGCTTGTGTTTTAGTGTGTTTCAGATCCTAACAGGTAAAACCAAAGCCGGAATCGAAAGGTTGAAGAAAAGGAGCAAAGACCAGGAAAAGAGGCGGAGACAACCAATATTCACGGCGTGACGTTGGAGTTCACGGTCTCACAGGGCCGTGAACTGGAGCCAAAACCCGTGAACAAAGGAGCTTCCAGAGAGAGTTTTGAGGTTACAGATGCCCAGACTATTCGCAGTCGCTAAGACCGTGAACATGAGCCAATAAAGTGGTGTGTTTTGGTCTCGGCACTGAGTTCACGGACGCATTTCAATGTTCACGGCCGTGAACTGGGCGCGATCTCAATTTTAAAGGCAAGCTGAAAGGAAGAAGAAAGGGGAGAGACCTAGTGTGAGAAACTTCTCCTTCTTCAGATTTTAGAGTGAGAAAGTGACGAACCAAAGAAGAGGAAAAGCTAGGGTTTCATCTCCAAGCAAGGTTTTGGGAATTCCTCCCACAAAGGAGGATTTCTTCAGCACAAGGAGCAAGGGTTGTATCTTCTTGATGGTTTCCCTTTCCCTCTCTTGTGTTCTCCCTTCTCCTAGCATGGATTAGTCCCTTCTTTCACTTGGGTGTTTGTAAACCCTAGCTACAATTATGTGAATGCTTGTATGAATTGAATGATTTGTTTGTGGTTGTGTTTTAATGTGAATGTGGAGGTATTATTCAGAAATGATTGTGTTGTGTGAAAGCCTATCAATCTAATTGTCATTCTAACCTAGATTAGAGAGGAAACCTCCTTAGGTTAAGAGGCTCAATTTGAGATGGGTGTTCTTGGGCATTTAATGCCTCCTAGGCTAGTTTAGAGAGGAAACCTCCTAAGGTTAAGCGGCTCAATTTGAGATAGGTGTTCTTGGACATTTCATGCCTCCTATGCTAGTTTAGAGAGGAAACCTCCTTTATTCAAAGAGGCTCGATTCAAGCTGAGTTCCCTTGGGCATTCAATGCCTCCTAAACTAATTTAGAGAGAACCCTCATTAACCTAAGAGGCTCTATTAGAGATGGGTTTCCTTGGGCATTTTATGCCTCCTATTCTAGGTTAGTTAAAGGGAAAACCTCATATTTTGCATTAGCACTTAGGGTTTGGTTGTGGGTGGTCGTCCGAACTCCAATTCGTGGGTGTAGTCTAACCATTCTTTAGTTGATAGGTTGAGAGGGTCACATTAGTGACTTGGATCGTATCCCATTCCTCAACCGAGAGTCTAAGAGGGTAGCTTTGGCTGCCTGTTAGACTTCCCTGCGTTTTATGACTCCCTAACCACACACGGTCATTCGATTCATCAAGTCATAATTGTTTGTTAGGGCGCGCAACACCCCGGTGAAGCTTTCTCATCTAGTGTTAAATCCATTATATCTTTGCAAAGCAATTTAGTTTTAGACCTTTGTTTTCACCAAAACCAATCCGCTAGATAATGTTTCAAACAGTCGAAGTAGCGGTACATAGACCAGTCCGGGTCGATATTTAAACATAATTGCCCTATATTGCACCCATCTAAGGTTTATACTTGGACCTTAGGTGGGATTTTATTGTGATAGTCAGAGCGAGTCAAGTTTTTGGCGCCGTTGCTGGGGACTTCGACTCGTTATCGTGAAAAGTTAGTTTGGTGTTAATCTAGCTTGTAATTTCTGTTTTTGTTAAGTTGTGAAGTGTTTGCTTGTTCTAGACGTGTTGTGTTCTTTCAGTGTGTGTAGGGAGGTGCATGACCCGGAGCAATCCGGCGCCTTTAACACCACTGGACGAGGACATCAAACAGACCCTCCGACTTCTAGCTTGAGAGAGGGAGCAAGCGGATGCAAGAAGGATAAGTCAAGAAAGAGGACACTAAGTTGGTCCCGGAATTGAAGTAATTGAAGTAGGATTTGAAGTTGAGATGGCGGAAATCAACATCGTGGGGCTACTTTGCTTCCAAACCCAAATGGGGAAGCGGGAGCCGAGGAAGGGCCAAGGACTATGTGCTATTACATGCCTCCACGGGCGGCGGATATCCAATCTCCCATCTTACATCCTCCCGTGGCCGCCAACAACTTTGAGATCAAGCCCTCTCTCGTGATGATGATTCAACAAAATGCCTACTTCCACGGGCTTGCCCATGAATCACCAGAAGAGCATGTCCAAAGGTTTCTTGAGCTAGCGGGAAGCTTAAAGATAAATGGCATCCCCGAGGAGGCATTACTATTGAAGCTCTTCCCCTATTCTTTGGCGGGGAAGGCACTCCGATGACTCAACAACCATCCGGCTCTTTCCATCAACTCTACTCAACAATTTCACGACCCGATATTGTCCTCCTTCCAAGACGGGCGAGTGGAGGTAGAAGATCACTCACTTTGAGCAAGAGGAGGATGAGACATTGTGGGATGCATGGGAAAGATTCTCCGACTACTTGCTCCAATGCCCTCACCATGGATTCGAGGAGCAATTTCGGATATAAACTTTCTATGGAGGACTCATTGAAGATGACAAGATCCTCATTGACTCTCTTTGCCAAGGGAGGTTGATGAACATGACCCCTCCTCAAGTGACCGAGTTTCTCGAAGATATGGCTCTTAAAGGATATGATTGGGGCTTGACAAGAAGTGGGAAGAGAAGCACCGATTGAGGAGTGCGAAGTGTGTGCTCCACTTGAAGTGAAGCTTTGATCGAGGTGATCGTTGAGGACAAGAAGCAAGGGAAGAGAGCGGTGATGTCTTGTGCTTGGTGTCGAGCACCAATAACAAAATTGCGGATTTCCAAGCGATGAAGGAGACAAGTACCCCCGAGGAGCTGGTGAGCTTCATTGTCAATGCTAGAGGGAACAACCCGTATAGCAACACCTACAACCCCGGGTGGCCCAATCATCCAAACTTCGCTTGGTCTTCCCCTACCAATCTAAGACCTCCCGGTTTCCAAGGTCCAACGGGAAACTATCAAACTCGGCCAACATTCATCCAACAAATGCCTCAATTCCAAAACTCAAACTTCCAACAACCATACCAAGCACAAGGCGGTCAAGGTTTTCAACAACAACAAGTCGACAAGTTCTATAAACTTGAAGACCTTGTGATCACCTTTGTGAGTACAAGCTCTAGAAGTTCGAGAAAATTGAGCAATTCATGGATGTGACAACATCCAAGTTTACCTCGGTTGAGGCGAGACTCCGAAGTCATCAAGCATGTTTCCAAAACTTGAAAGTTCAAATTAGCAATCTTGTCGGGATCCTCACCGAGAGACCAAAGGGAGCCATACCCTCTCAAATCATTTTCAATCCCAAGGATCAAGCCGGGTGCAATGCAATTTTCTTGAGGAGCGGAAAGGTGACCCTTGAGGTTGTTGCCAAAGAAGTGAATGAGAAGGAAGAGCCTCTACCCGAGGGTGAAGAAGAGAAAATCTCGAGCGAAAAGAGAGGAGTGGCGAGTACACGCCACCCCTACCTTTTCCCACGAGGGTGCACAAGGAAAGATTGGAAGAAGAATGTGGAGGTTTCATGGAGATACTCCGAAAGCTCCACCTCAACATTCCCTTCCTTGAAGCAATGGCTCACATGCCAAGGTATTCGAGATATCTCAAGGGGTGTCTCTCGAAGAAGACGAAGTTCGAAGACCTCGCCAATGTCACCCTAGGCAAGGAGTGCTCAGCCTTCATCCTCAACAGGTTGCTCGAGTAGCAACCCGATCCAGGTAGTTTCATTATACCTCTTTGCATCGGTTGTCATCACATAGAAAATTCCTTGTCGGACTTAGGGGCGAGCATAAATCTGATGCCATATAAGCTTTTTAAGAGGCTAGACATAGGTGAAGTAAATACTACGAGGTTTAGTGTCACATTGGTCGGTCGCTCTGTCATTAGTCTTAGGGGTAAAGTGGAGGACGTGCTAGTACGAGTGGGAAAATTCGGTTATCCAATGGGCTTTGTGATTCTGGATATAAGTGAGGATTCTGAGATGCCACTCATACTAGGACGCCCTTTCCTAGCCACCTCCAAGGAATTCATTGACGTAAATGAGGGAACTTTGATTCTGACAGATAGTGAGGAGAGAATTACTCTTGGAATTGATCCTATGCCTAGGAGTGAGGAAGTGAAGGAAGTGGAACCGGGTGATATGAATG